GCAATCACTGCCCACCGGTCTTGAGTGCCCGCAGGGAATAGTTTAATGGCTTTAATGAGTAGTTGGATGTCATCGTAACTCCAGTGCTTCTTCGACGACACGTTATTCGTCTGACCGTTCATTGAGTTATTGGTCGTCAAGAGAGCGATGCGTTCGGACTCTAACTTAGTGTTCATTTCTGCCATTTTCTTAAGGAAAAAGTCTCGTTTCGAGTCTTCGCTGTCGAGTCCTTCAAACTGTTGTCTAAATGTTTGCAATTCTTCTAAACTATAAATATTCATAATTTTATCAAATTCTCGCAAATAATCAATTCTTTGGTTCTCATTGTCGGCAAAATAACCAAATGTTTCAAACAAAGTCTCCAAATGTTTGCGTTCTTTTCGTATTTCTTTTTTGATGAAATCCTTTTGTTTCTTCTCTTCATTCTTCTTCGCCTTAATTTCGTTCTCTTTCTCTAACTTTTCTAACCTTTGCTTCTCTTCTGCCTCTCGTTTCACTCTTTCCTCTTCCAACTGTTTCTCTCGAATATTCTGTTGTTTTGCCAACTTTTGGGACAATTTCTTCTGTTTCTCCTCCTCTTTGAAGCGTGCGATTCGCGGATCGGATTGGTATGCGTTGTCCACCAATTGTCTCAATCGTTGCATCTCTTCCTTCTTCTTCTGAGCTCTGGCGGCTTTGTTCTGCTTCTCCATCCATCGCCTTCCTCTTTGAAGCGTGCGATTCGCGGATCGGATTGGTATGCGTTGTCCACCAATTGTCTCAATCGTTGCATCTCTTCCTTCTTCTTCTGAGCTCTGGCGGCTTTGTTCTGCTTCTCCATCCATCGCCTCTCGTCTCTATTCTCTCCCTTTTCCTTCTCTTCTTCGTCTAAATACGAGTATTCTCTCCACGAATCGAAATCATACCAAAAGGCATAGAACTTATTCACATACGATATGTCCGACCGATCGTCGCCTAATTCAGGCACCGGTTGTTTTGTAGACCAACTGATGGACACAACAAATACACATACATTATAGGCTATTAATACACATTCAGTAAACCAATCAATAATACCGTGAATTTAGTTTAAAAGCGTTGCCATAAACGCGATAAAAGTCTGCTTTTGTGGCGGCATTATTGGCCGGAATCTCGTCGTCAAAGGTTTCGTCAATACTATCATAGGATCTCCTTTTGATGGCATCGCCTAATATTTCGTACGCTTTCGTCAGACATGAATAGTAGTCGAGGTCGAGATCTATCACCTTTCCATCGCCTGAAGACCTCTTGTCGGGATGATGTCGAAGCACTTTCAACCGATCTGTTTGTGTGTAAACAATAAAAGCCGGTTAATAGCCATTCAGACAACACATCAAACATAACATCATTACGAATACAGACATTGTTTTTTGATGTCCTCGGGAGTGGCGAAGAAGCGGTTGTGGACATTGAAGATCTTGTAGTGGTCCTGACTCTTCCACTCCTTCGGATCCAAATTAATCAAATACTCTTCGCTCTCGTCGTCGCCGATCGTGTAGTCATTCCTATCGCAGAGATCCGTCTCTATTAAGCCCTATTGAAGATCTTGTAGTGGTCCTGACTCTTCCACTCCTTCGGATCCAAATTAATCAAATACTCTTCGCTCTCGTCGTCGCCGATCGTGTAGTCATTCCTATCGCAGAGATCCGTCTCTATTAAGCCCAACCTCTGCAACAGTTTGTGCAGCCATTGGTCGTACGGCTCGATCAACACTAACGCCATGTCTTCAGCGCCGCCGAAGAGGAAGAAGTAATTCAATTCATTAGTCATATATTGTCTGTCATTCACATGACGGCCAGCTCTTCGGCTCCAATACTTACCATTCGTTGTCTTCATTGAAGACATTATCACACATTTGAGACCACAATTCACTTAAATGTACGACAAATACAACCAATTATTGAATGCTTTCAAAACTATTTCTAATAAATCTGTTATAAAATTAAAATTCAATTCAAAACTCTATTAAATTAACATTTCATTCAAAACGTGAGAATTTGTTCATTACATTCGTTCGTAACATGTGTTACACTTATATCGGAGGAAATTATTTATTTGTTTGCATTGTTTTGAACGCATTTTTAAAATAAGGGTTTTGTTAAAAGTGATGTATTGTAACGTTGTTTGTGAAACTCAATTGAATCCACATTTAATTTATTTTTCATAAATAATGTTTGTATTGGGAAAACAGTTTCAATGCATTCCCTATGAATTGCAACGACTTTATGGTTGAAAGGGTTTGACTTAAGTGTGATTTAGAGACACATTATTTATGAACAATTTTAGCGATCAAAGCATGTCTTCAAACGGTATAAACAGTTAATTGAAAAACAAAATCAATAATTGATTTGAAATTAAAGCCAAAGAAATGTTGAAATGGTTGACAAAGTTTGCAAACAATGAGTCAATCGGTAGTCATTTGTTGTATTCATTGGTCGCCAGACTTTTGCTGATAGTATTGAGTGAAATACAAGACAAATACTTGACACTCAAGTATACGGACATCGATTATCACATCTTCAGTGATGGCGCCCGACATCTATGGTTAGGTGAGTCGCCGTTTCTGACGGACACCTATCGATACACACCACTCGTGGCCGCACTACTCGTCCCGAACGTGACTCTATGGCCACAATTCGGCAAAATGTTGTTTTCGGTGTTGGATGTGATGACCGGAGCACTCATTTACCGCATTTGCGGCCATCATTTGGACGCCAAGACATCGAAACTATGCGCTATTATATGGCTCTACAACCCGTTGCCGGCCATCATATCGACGCGCGGGAGCGCCGAGTCTGTGGTCACGACTCTAGTCTTGTTAACCATATTATGTTTAGCCAATAGTCAACTAGTCTTCGGCGGCCTTTTGTACGGCTTTGTCATTCACTTCAAACTCTATCCAATCATTTATATTCCGGCCGTTTATCTGTATTTAACTAAAAGCCAAAAAGTGTGGAAAGCATTCCTCCCGAACCGCAAGAAACTCACATTCTTTGCCTTTGCGTTGATTGGCTTTGTTTTGCCCACTTATGTCTCGTATCACTTGTACGGACAGCTGTATGCGGACGAGGCCTGGCTCTACCACTTGCACCGCAAAGACCCTCAGCATAACTTCAGCCCATATTTCTATATCTATCACTTGTTCAAAGCCGAAGAGCAACAGAAACTGTTCGCTTATCTGGCATTTGTTCCCCAATTCCTAGCCGTCCTCTCAATCGCTTTCTATTACTGTTTGTCTGCGAAACACAAGTTTCAAGACTTGACGTTCGCTGTCTTCGCACAGACCACTGCTTTCGTGACGCTTAATAAAGTGATTACTTCTCAATACTTTCTCTGGTATTTCTGTCTTTTGCCGCTCGTCTGGCCGTACGTCAGGCTATCGGCTAAACAATGGATACTTATGTTAATTGTATGGCTCTTAAGTCAGGCTCAATGGCTATTACCGGCCTATTTGTATGAGTTTGAGCACTGGAACTGTCTGTTCTGGGTTTGGATTTCCAGCTGTGCTTTCCTTGTCATTAATCTTCTCCTTCTTATTACTCTTATTTTTAATTATAAACCATTTGATAGAAAACACCGCAAAAAACATTAGTTTTTTAAACGACAACTTTTTACTTTAAAATATATTTTGTTATGTTTTTAATTTAATAGCAGTATTAAAGTCTAATTATTTTTATATTATTTTATGTATAATTTATATAATGAATAAATGAATTAATAATCGGACAAAATATTTGTATAATTGACGAATTGTGGTAAAAAAAATTCAATTTTAGATTCTTGTGGTGAATATATTTGTGTCAATTTTTTTTTTGATTAACTCTTATTTAAGTTCTGATTGGCGTTCGTCTGAGATCTCATCGATTCATTTGTATCAATTGCGGATCCGCTCTTCGCATCCGCTGCTGTCACGGCCTTTGTTTGGGATCTAATCGACGGATTGTCTCCCAAATTACTTGCATTTGTTAGTCCTTTGAATGCATTGGTTGTGTTAGTCTTAGATCGTGTTGAATCAATTGCGCTCTCTTTGGACACCAGTTGTCCTCCCATTTGATTGACATTTGTTTGGGATCTGATCGGCGACTGAGAATCGATAGTACTTTCATTCAAAGCGTTTCGTTTATTTTGATCATTAAATTGCGAACGCATTGAAAGGCTAGACTTGTTGTCGACGCCACTCCTGGAACCACTTCTACTGAACACATCTTCACTTCGCTCATCGTTTTTGTCTTTACTTTTTCTTAAGAGTGAACACAAGAGGAATGCAAACAAGAAAACTACTATTAATGCCAATATTATGGCTAAAATGGTCCAAAATAGAGGCGATCCGTCGTCTTCGGTCGGATCCACTGAAACATTCGCCGTTTCTTCAGTGGTTTGACTCAATTCAGTTGTTATCGCTATAGGAATGGATATATTGACTGGAGTTGTGTTGATTGATGCGGTCGTAGACACTGAACACTGATTTAAGTTTTGTTTAGTTCTACTTTAAAATACTTATAAAACTTACAATTTGTTGAATAATATCCACTAATGGTATGTTTGGCGGCGTTTTAGTGTGATTTGCAACCCTTATTTGTTCGTCCTATTACATGCAAATTAAATGCAAATCAAATGCAAAGCAATTGTTTACTAATATTTGAATAGTTTTACAAAATGATGATTACATTGGTTTGACTCAAATCGATGTCATAAGTACTGAACCCTTTTGGGCCAAAACAGATAATTTGCGTATCGTTTTGAATAAAACAGGAATCAAAGTCTTCATACGGTTTAAGAACTTGAGTGATATTGAAAGTGCGATCATGGTTGTATCCATACTTTTTAGTACAAGTCTGGGGCCCTATAATTGCGTGATAGGTATTTGGCTGAACCGGTGCTCCACTCGTAGGCATTTGGATGAGGAATAAGGTTCGCATTTTGTGCCAAAACATGGTAAATGTGAACGGATAGTGATTCATATAGGGGTCAGTAGACAGGTATTCGGGCAGATATATGATCGGCGGTGTTGTCCACACTGTATTGGGAGTCCAGTTAATCAGATACAAGAATGAATGCCATTCCCAGATCTGGTTTTGTGCGTCTTGTGTCACCTTTTGAACAGATTTTATGTAAATTTATGAAACTATTAATTTTTAAACTATTGATTGAAAGCATACGTTATAAGCCATAAGTCTGTAGTCGTTTGGATCGCAACTTCTATTGTCGAAAAGCAATATTCCGTTTATAGTTTGAAATTCCGTAGGAATAGGAATGGGTTTATTGCGAACACTCTTCTGATTGTATTCATCGTTTGTTATGATATAAGCCTTTCCGTCGGCTATCAGTGCGTAAGAAAGACCTATACTTTGGTCCAAAGGCTGTATTAATTGAAATTTAGGACAATTTGACGTCCAATTCGTCGATATCTCAGACACAAGAATACAGACTATTATGACAAACAAATGGATGCAAATTGAATACATTTTATTAAATACAAGAACTATGAACTAAATTAGTTAACTATTGAATTGAGCTGTTATTTATGTATTATAGTTTTGCAGTGATTTAAACTTATTATAAATAATTCACGTATTATTACAAATGGTTAAATTGTTGATTGAATGCATGTATTGTTGTCTAAATAAATGTAATATTTTCCAAATTAATATTTAATATTTGTAATTGTATTTCAAAACCAATATATCATAACCGGACATAACATGGTATAAATAGTATAAAGTTTACACTAAACAATTTGGTGATTACAATTAGTGATGATGGTCATTTCATATTAAGTATAATTTGTAATAAATATGACCAAACATGATCATTTTTTGTATTAATACTTTTTGTGTGTAAATAAAATAATTTTTATAATTTAATAATAAAGTTATAACAGAAGGAAGAAATGCAATATTTTAGACAATTCTTGGTTTTAATGTTTAAATTTGGCGCAAATTCTGGTAATTTTAATACAAAACAATTTTAGGGAATAAATAATGTTTTGTAAAACACAAGAATTCTGAATGAATTGATGTTTGAAATGTTTGCCAAAAACAAAACATTATTAATGTATCGAATATTTAGCGCCAAATAAACCAAACATTGATTTCGCAAATCATATGTCTTTGAGATTCACTGAAAGACTGTCTTTCAATATCATTGTTATCTCTTGTGTGAGTCATTCCTCGCGAGTCATCAATACATCGATTGTTTGCATCCAATGATTGCGTTCTTCATTTGAAAGACACTTTCATCACTGAATCGGTGATCACTTTGGGATCAATGAAAACAATGGCCAAAAGGGGAGCACTAGTGGTGTTGGAAGGCGTGGATAGAGTGGGAAAGTCTACACAAGCGCTCAGACTGTCGGAAGCGCTGAAGACTATGTCCTGTCCGACACATTTGGTCCGATTCCCTAACCGATTGACACCAATCGGGCAAATGATTAGCCAATACTTGAAGGGCGGCCAACAACTGGACGATCGGGTGATTCACCTCTTGTTTTCGGCCAATCGGTGGGAAATGAGGGAACAGTTGGAAGAGCTGTTGTCGAGCGGGACGTCAGTGATCGCCGACCGATACGTGTATTCGGGTGTCGCGTATTCGGCGGCCAAACCGTCGCTGGACTTGGAGTGGTGTCGACTCGCGGATAGAGGTCTCCCGAAACCCGATTCTGTCCTCTATTTGACGGCTTCTGAGGACTCGATCGCCGCCAGAGAGGGCTTCGGAGACGAAAGGTATGAAACGAAAGNCGTCGCTAGACTTGGAGTGGTGTCGACTCGCGGATAGAGGTCTCCCGAAACCCGATTCTGTCCTCTATTTGACGGCTTCTGAGGACTCGATCGCCGCCAGAGAGGGCTTCGGAGACGAAAGGTATGAAACGAAAGCATTTCAACAAAAGGTGCGAAACAATTACGAGAAACTCAAAGAAGACTATTGGCAGGTATTGTCCACTCATTTCTACCATTCATTTCAGTTGACATTCATTTGTTGATCGCTTTTATAATGAATAGACAATCAGTGCCGATAAGTCTGAGGACGAGTTACACAAAGAACTCTTGGATTCTGTGCTGAAGACCATTGAGAGAGTGAAGAATTCCGACGACAACACAATTCATAAGCTATGGCTCGACTCATAGTCTATAAAATTTACACAATTTTCAATTTTTAAACTCAATTTTATGTTGAATTTTATTTTTGATAATCAAATATTAGGTATATTTTTCACTTTTTTGATCAATTGATTGCACAAAATATTGTTTAATTAAATATAATATTTAAATATGCGTTAAAAACAGGTAAAGATATACTTTTCAATATATATATAAATATGTTCTAATAATTATCGATAAAATAAATTAATTTTTCAGTACATTTGCTTTCTTCTCCTCAACACATGATATGACAATGTATTTAAATATAAAGGTTTTGAATTATTGTCTAACGTTTCGTAAACTATTTGGAAGTGAATAACGAGTTGTAGAGTTCAGATTCAGGTAACATAAGGCGGTATCGATTGACAATGTCTTGGATTTTGAGCCTTCGTTTGACGTGTGGGGGTTGGAAGCTATCCATCGGTTAACAGTAAACACACATTAATTAGCACTTTATTTCAATTGTCTAATCATTGCTGTCATACCTTTCAGTGTCGAGCCGTCGGCGTCGGCAAATGTTAAGCGCTGCCAAACGTACAAAAGTACCCAAAATATGTTTACTGACAACCATTCCGTCGATTAGGGGTAAAGTGATTGGAGTTCTGATTAAAATACAAACAATTAGTTAGTGTTTTATTAATGGATTACAATGAATGCCAACCGTCCGCCTGAGCCTTGGATTATGATTCTGAAGAGTCCATTCTTGAGTTGATGGATCAAAATGAGCACAAAGTCTTTCCAAAGACTCAGATTAGCTTCAACTCCAGTGCCAGTCGTTAGTAACAAATTGTCTGAAAGAATAGTTCAAATGTTAGTGAATACAAGTGATGGCAATGAGTAGATGACTGACTGATTGGCAGTTCGTAGTGATCGTCAGTGCTTTCCATCCAAAATATAAGTACTTTAACATCACATCCAATGTTGTGAAGCAAATGGTTCCGAAATTTGCGTCTAAGGCTACTTCTCGTCGACTCGTTCTCCACCAAAGTCTTTGACGAAATGGTTCCGTCATCGCTGAGACTGGACACAGACCTGGCGTCGGAGTGCGCGTCACTGACAGCCCTCTGCTTATAGTCGCCGTCGAGTGACGTGTTGTCCAGCGGTTCGTCATTCAAAGCGGTAAAACCGGACGGAAGTAAGAAAACTAATTCGTGGCTCACGTCAGCCCAATAGAGGGCATGCTTTTTGCCGTCAAACACATAATTCTTGTCGTGTTCTTTAGCGCCGGTGGTGTCGGTCACTGTCTTCCAAGCGGTGGACACGTGTCCCGTCCATCCGGAATGAGTCCTCACGTCAATGATTGAGCCCAAAGAAAGTACAAACTCTCTGAAGTGAGCGTTTGACGCGAACTGTTGCTTATTATCGGCGAGTATTTCGTCGGCGCTCTTCACTCCCTGTCGGACGTAATAAACGAACACCGAATCACTCGTTCGGTTCGATATCGAGTCCAGAGTTTTCAGATTCGACACGAAATCCGCACTTTTGCTGTTGAGAGCAATGAGCGAAGGAATCATTTGTCCCATCGGAGCGTCCTTTCAATCAATTGGAATTAAATTAGTGAACAATTCTTATAATAAATGTCAGTTTGTGTCCAAACCTGTAACGTCTCGAATGTAAGGAAACTGAAATGTGAGAGTACGAGTCGGGCCGCCTCTAACTCAGTCGATACCATCGGTTCTTTACAATCGGTGCTCCTATTAAGCGATGGTGTCTTATAAAGCCTTTGTTTCTCGTATTTCATGTGATTTTCCACTCTTTCCATTAAACTTAACATAATTTCCTGATCTGATCTGAATTCAGGCGATTCGGCCACCATTTTCGAGAGGTTCGGAACAATGCAATCGCTGGACACAACACAACAATTCATTATTCATTTCATCAAATATTCAATATATAGAAATACATACAATTTGGTTAACTTTATTTTGTCCATCGATTCTGGAAAGTGACGAATTTGATGAGTGTTTGTGGTCGATGTGATGTCTGGCTTTGGCAACGGGCGCGACACCTGATCGCT